TTTTAGGATCTTGCATTTAACATTCTTAACGAATATATGAATATGTATTTATTTATACTATGTTATATATATAGAAATACAAAGATATATTATATTTATTTCCCTTTACTAACAACTTTAACTATTGATTAACTATGAAATTAGTCTCTAAAAGCATAGCTTGAACCTATTAATTACATATTTTCTCTTTAATCCAACTCTTCAAGCATAAAACTGCTCTTGCTATTTCTCCATCTAATCTATTTTTTGATGGCATGATTGTTTGTATAGCAATTGAGAAAGCTTGTTCTGAAGCAACACTCATCATCTGGATACATAACTAATCTTAAGGATTAAATTTAATCTAAGATATTCATGTTGTTTTTCTTGCTACTAAGCTAGTAGATCTACTTCATTTTCCAATGGTAAAGCTAAGTATTTTCTAATTTATCATGAATATTATTCATCTCTGGCAAAGAGGAACTTGAATCACTTTCTTGTTGGTAATCAATTAAGCATAACTGATGAAAATAATTTTGTGTATTTGATAGCATATTAGATATTGTAGTTGGTTTTGGTGTTTTAGAAGAATACCCATTAAGATTTGAAACTAGGTTGATTGCTTTGGTTTTCTTATCCAAGTTTTTAAATGCTGTTAATTTTGTTCTTGGATCAAGCAATAATGAAATCTATGAAGTTTCATATAAAATTGGCTAGTAAGTATCTATCTAACTTTTGATAAATTGCAGATACTATCTGATTTTGTGAAAAATTTTTATTATCCTTGTATTGAGACAAGTAATCCTGAATAGCAAGAAAAATAAAGTGAATATTACTATGCATTGGATAACTTGAAACAGAAAGAAGTTGAGTAGCATATTTGATTAACTTTAAAATAATTAGTGTATCCTTTTTGAATTAATTTTTTTTTTATATTAAGCAATCCTGCTTCTATTTATTTTATAAACTACTATAAGGTTATTATACAAATAACAACCTAGACTAGTATAATGCTTTATTCTAATAGAAACTCACTAAGCTGAAGCCCAATGCAACTTGCTATAACAATTATTAGTCTTATAGCAGGATCTGAAAATTGCTTCAGATTTTGTATTAACAAAGAATACCCCCTCAATCATTTGACAGATCATTGTATACTGCATTAGAATTTCTTTTTTCTATTCCAATTCTTCTTTTTTCTTAAGAGCACAAGACAAAAGAAAAAAAGTTTCCAACAAAGAGTAATGAAAATGACTAGAAAAAAAAAAAAAAAAAAAAAAGAAACACTGCAAAAAAATATATATAAAGAGAAATCTAAAACTCTAAATACTATTATAACCGATATATAGCTAATAAAGATTATATAACAAATGCAACATTTGTATATCTTTACTGTAAAGCTTCACCTTAATATTAAATTTACTTTCTAACCTTCCTACCAACTCCGAATAGCTTCATTGCCCATCCTAATTTGTATCTCAAGTCAGATGCTGCTATCATCTGAAGATCCATGTCTTAAACTACCTGCTGTTATAATTAGAGTACCCAGGCTGAGTCCCATAAAAAAAGTGCCATATTTGTCTGTAAACAAACATGTAGTTGCATTTCCAAATTTGGGAAGTAAACAATGCTGATCTTTTGAAGGAGGTAAGCCAAATCCCTACTTTTTGTTAAAATTTTTTGAAAGACTAACAAAAGAATGAGAAAGAGTAAAAAGGTACTACTTGACCAAGTAAAAAGAGTGCAGCTTGAAGAAAGTAACAGGATATTTTGTTGTTTTCTAGTGTCTTCAAAGAAGTATGGCCTAAGAGCTTCATCAATAGAGAAAGAAGAGTATTCAAAGAGTCTTTTTTTTTACCAAGATTTTTTATACAAAAGCACCTCTTGCCAGTTATCTTGTATAATAATGCTCTTGGTTTGTATACCAAATGTTATCTGTAGAGAAGTTTTACGAGCAGTATGTTGACCTCTAGACAAACCACTATGTTAGGCCATGACTCTCCAACAAAATTTGTGTTTTTTTTCTATAAGAATTTTGGACCAAGTGATTGTCAGAAAGAGTTCTGTTATTATGTATATTTTTTGAATTAATTAAATTGTTATTTTATTTTTATTTATTTATTTATTTTAAAACTTATATTAATATCTACTTGGTTACTTTTATCAGAATACTTTTAATGAGGATTTTCATCATTAGCTGCAAGTATATTCAGAGCAGTTTCTATTTGTTTCTATTTTTCTAGCATGTAATAAGTAGAATTCTATCTGGTCTTAATATCTAGCTCAGATGCTAGATAATTAATACTTTTTAGAGCATATAATTTTTTTAAACTATTGATTGTAGGATGTTATGCTTTGATATAAGATATCAATGATCACACTTTAATTACTGATTCATTAACCAAATCAATTATACAGCAAATAGCCAAGTTTAACACATATACCACATACTGATAATGAGAAAAATCATCATTATTAAGTTCTTAAAACTTTTCTTTTAGAAGTGTTTCATTTAGAACTATCGAAGATATGTTATTGGTAATTAAAGCCAAACTTTTTTTAGCTATATAATATTCTTCTAAGGTATTCACTGCCACATTGGTAATATTAACTCTTAAATACCATTCTTTTATAGGTATAATGTCAAAAAGAAAATTTTTCAATTTCCAAAATTGATTAATATAATGTATTGTAATATATAGAAATGATATACTATTTGATACTATTCACATATCTGAAGTAAATACTACCTTTTCTGAAATCTTATTCAATATTACTTTGGCTTCTTGTTTATTTTGAAATATTTTTGTTATCTAATTTTTTATTGTACTTCTATTAGAAAATTGGTATTGTGAGTTGAATTTTGAAATCATGTTCTGCTATTCTTCTCTTTTGATGGTACGAAATTGCTATAAATCAGAAATAATCTATCTTACAACCAAGTTAGTTCGCTCTTGTTGTTTAATTTTTGGATAAGAGTTTAGATTTAAAAGCTTTTTTCCTTTTTTTAATACTACTATCACAGGTTAAATAAAACTATATTAGACAACAATCAGATACCTGATAGGTCTCCTATATCAATATAATATAAATATGGTAATTTACTGACAAGTAAAGTCTAAGTGTCTCTGATTGGTATTTGATTTCAAACAGATATTTGGTAGAAATAAGATACCAATTAAAAAAATTAAGATTTAAATCAATCACCTGTAGGCCAATTATATAACTTGATAAGTATCTTATTTTACTTGAAATTGCTCAAAAACCAGATAGTCATTGGAAAAATTTAAGATACCTATTAAATTAAATTAAAGACCTACCAGTTTTTCGATACCAAACTTAATTTGATCATAAATATTTCCAATTAGTATCTTATTTCTGCCAAATATTTATTTGAAATCAGATACCAACCAAGGATATTTAGAAACAAAACAAGTATGTTATTAATTATTTGGTAGGCCTTTTGATATTCCCAATTGGTATCTTATATTACTTGAAATTGCAAGTAAATCAGAAACACTTTGGATATAATTAAACCTATTAATTTCTAAAAAGCTTATCAGTTTATTAATTTTTATTATTATTTATTTATAAAAGAATAGAGTAGTATTACATTTTATAAAAAGCAAATTTTTTGCAATCACTATACACTTAGCAATTAACTCTATACTACAAAAAAAACCACATGTTCTCTAAATCAAATTCAAAGGCTTATAAAACTACAAACTATACTACAACATTAAAGCACCAAATTAAATAACTTCAACAATGACTCCAATGATGAAAAAATATACTATAACAAACAACTTCAATGAAAATCAAAGAAAATTAGAACATTAGTACTTAATATAGACAAAAGAAAAAATTCTATACTAAATCAAATTTGAAGACATATAAAACCAAAAAACTATGCTATGCCAATAAAGCACTAAATAAATGACTCCAACTATAACTCCAACAATGAAAAAACATTCTGTAATAGACAACTTCGATGAAAACCCATAAGGAATAATAGAATATTAGTATTTAATATTGACAAAAGAAAAAAATCTATACTAGATTAAATTTGAAGATATATAGAATTAAAAAACTATGCAATGACAATAAAGTACTGAACTAAATAACTCCAATAAAGAAGAAACATACTATAATAGATGACTTCAATAAAAACCCATAAAGAAAAATAGAACATTAATACTTAATGTAGACAAAAAAAAAGTCTACACTAAATCAAATTCAAAGACATATAGAACAAAAAACTACATAATAGCAATAAAGTACTAAACTAAATAACTCCACACTAGTCAAAGTAAAAAAAATCGGGCATATGTTTTATTTTAAACTGATATATGCCCACCCGATTGTTGTTAAATTACAAATTTATCATAGCCCTGATTGATGCAAATTTATGCAGCAACCCGATTTGTATAAAATTCTAAAATAATTAGTCCCGATTTATGTCGATTGTTGGTGCAATTCGGCATGTAATCAGGAGGAATCTGATTTTAATAAATTGCTTAATCTGATGGGTATTGGTACATATCGGCAAACAATTATCTTATTGTAAGCCAAAAAAAAATTATAATAATAAACGATAGCAACATATAAAAAAAATTATTTTACAATAACCACTAGTACCGGGTGATAGTTTCTCCTGTTTCTTTTATTTATTTGACACCTCTCTCAGTCAAACAAAGTAATAGTTAAAATTTTCGCAGTTGGATTAGTATTACACAAATGTAGATTATAAATGTGCGAGAATGAAAAAGCAAAGAACTTAGCCCCTGAAAAATTATCATAATTGTATTATAATAATTTTCAGGGGCCAAATTCTTTACAATGAAATTAAAACTTAGATTTTTTTTTATTACTCATTCCTCTAATTGTCGTATCTAGCTTTTTTTTGTCCCAAAATATAAAGCGCAGATCATATTAGTGAAAAATATAGTTTGTTAGATGAAACCTTGAGATTTCACACTGAACAAAACTGACAAAAGGTAATATAACAAATTTATTTTGTATCAGTTATCAATATTGCATGTGTATGAAACAACGCGTTCGTTTACCAAAGCATTTTCAAACATGTCGTCTAGTCGCTCTCGAGGGTCACTGGGTATATCTCAGTATAGTAAATAAAGAGAGTTCGATAGTTTATTTAGAGATTTTAACGAAATGTTGCAATTTGCCGTACGAGGGATTACTTTTACAACAGAAGCAGCAACTGATCTTGAAGAGGCTAAAAAACAAGAAAAGATAAATAAGATTCTTTACCCGGCAACAGTTGTTCTGCTTTATTCAATCTAAACACGCTTATTACATATATTTAGCTCAATCAACTAGATGTTATTGTGAGGGATATATTGATCTAGAGAATCAAATTAATTTTTAAAGAACCGCACTTAACACTCTTAAAATTAAGGTTGATGCAGAGCATAAATTTGCAAGTATATTTTAGAGTTTAGTAAATCTTTATATAAGTATGTTTTAATCATTATTCAGGAGTACTATGGCTTTTTGGCAAGATTATTCAACCAGTTTATA